ACACCCCCTAATAGGAATGAGTGGTTCTTCAATGTCTAATTTTGGGATTCCAGTTCTTCTGTCCGGCAGAGCAAGGTGAACCAATTTTGAGGATCACCGCTCTCCTTGTTTGGTGTTATTTTTCCTTTGACGTTTGAAGGTTTGGGGGTCTCCTTAGAACCAGGGCTCAAATTGCTCAGCTACCAACATATTGAGGGGCACCTGACCCTAGGAGCAAAAAGGAACCATGACAGGGGCGGAGGCAGCAGCCGCCACATGGACAAACGGCTGCATGGGGGGTAGGCAAGCAAGCAAGCAAGCAAGCAAGCGAGCGAGCGAGCGAGCGAGCGAGCGAGCGAGCAAGCAAGGGCGGCAGGCAGGCAGCCAGGCAGCCAGCCAGGCAAGAACTACCCCTGAAGAGTAAGGTTGAGCCAAACCCTTGCTTAAACGCGTTTTAACAGCCCTTGCTTCCAAACATATCTAGTTTGTTCTCCTTGTAAGGCATACTGCTGCAGTACTGCGGTCTAGCTGGTTCAACCAACTTGCCCCAAACCTGTTGAATAATGGTTGCAGGAAATCACCAAAATCTGTGATACCAACCTGGCTACTCCTATCCAAGCCCATAACTACTTCTCACTCCTTTGACCATCACAGAAACTGGCAACCTAAAGCCCGATTTCCCACAATCACGTGCAACGGAAACCATTTACAAATCGGGGCGGCCATCCAAGTAATGAATTTTAGCACCCTCTAAATAAAGCTTGGGGATAAATCCCCACCCAACAATCCACCAAAGCTATGGCTTGTCTCCTCCAAAGATGTCCGAATCTCGTCTTGGGAGCCCGGCGATCGGCGCCGCAACCGCGGCGGCATGCAAGAGCGGAGGCCTGTGCGCAAAGAGTTCGGAGCCTCTGCGCACCTTGATAACCATGGGATGTTGACAAGAGATAAACCAACAGTAAAAATAGGGGGATCAGGGCAAGCTTTGGATTTTGAGATAGGATGTTGACAACCATAGGATTTTGAGATCAGTAAATGGTATCTCTTGCTTACGCCTGGGATACACCAAAAGAAAGGATGTTCTGATTCTGTTTCACAATTGTTCCTGGAGATCCCAGTATAGACAAAGACAAACGTGTATAAATATACGTAAGCAAGAAAAACAAGAAGCAGCTAGCTAAATCGGTGAAACCTTGAACAATCGGCAGACTCACCCGGGCATCCTTCGCCAATGCTATGTCGCTTTCCTCCAGACCTCCGGTGGATTACGTGGAAAAAAAAGAGGAACCCTGACCGTAGGGGGCGTTCCCTTCAAAAGCAGTTGCCATTGCCCGCTAGTAAAGCTTTCCTTCATGAACAATGGCAGTTTCTTCCACAAACCTGCACCCACTGGCTCGCGGAACTAACACCAACGAGAACATATCAAATATATTTATCCTCTGTTCTCACCGTGGCTGTACATGTGTGGCCTCAGAGCATATCCGCGTATACGATCGCCGCACCGGCTCCACTTGGTTTGCTTGCGTGCCAGCTTGGGAGAAGCCTTCGGCACGTGACTTCCGGGTCAAACTCAGGTTCTTCTTTGCTTTCACTCGCTTCGCAAACTGTAGACGCTCGATTCCACAAGATGCGCTCATTCATGAAGGACCCTCAACAACGACAAGGGTCCTGACCAACACGACGCGAACTAAAAGGGGACATCCCCTCTTACTCCAGCGGGGTTTATTCATCTAGGGTCAACATTATATAACTCGCTTTGAAGGGGGTCCCTCCTCCAGAAAAAAATGCCACAAGGAAGCAACAACTGGAGGTCTGTGACAGTGGCAGCACTGGAAGTCTAGAATCATTACTACCAACGGGAAAACCACTCACAGGGTTCCAGTGTTGCTTTGCTGCACCAACCACATACGCACAGCCATAAACAAGTCCGCCATGTGCAGTTGTTCTTAACGCTTGGTTCTGGCCAAACAGTTCCAGCAGCTTACTGCATCTACGCCATGGTCAAAACTTCTTATTGGTCATGGTTCTCGAAGGATCCTTTTCATGGTTGTCTGAATCCCCGGGTTTTCGGCACCTGGGAACCTCTGTTTGGCGGGGGCGGATTTGGGGTGTGGGGCCCCCTTGAAACTTGTCCTATGGAGTCCACCGCTCTGATTCTGTTTCTTCGAGCTCGACGGGAGGGTTGGTTGGGAGTTTTTTGGGAAGGGATCCCCATTTCGGAGACACACAAACGCGTGTCGCAAAATGGGAATTTTACCCCAACATGGTGGTTTTCCTGTTGATATCCTTGGACACCACCGCCTTTTCTTGGGGTAATTACCTTCGAAGAATGAGATACCTGTATGAGCCCCTGGTATGAACCGCTAGTTTATTGGGGAAATTCACCAGCCTAGAGGGTACAACAGGCAGGGCTGGGCATTTCTTGACTGGGTTTAAGGCCAAAGAGCGAGGGCTAGATGTGGAGCTGTCTTTTTTGGTTTCCAAAGCCACCCCAAAGTCCCCGAAGTTTGAGATCCCATGTGCCATGGTGAAAACAAACAAAACATGCTTACTTGGGCTTGGAATGGAGCATGAGCACTTGCAAAAAAAATAACCAGGAACCATTGATTTGGGGAGGAGCAAGCCCCAGATTCACTTGGTTCCTTTCAAAACCTATCCGGGCCCACTCAAATGGGGTGCGTCTTCTTGGAAAGTGCCACTCTTGAGTTGGTTTGAAAGGGGAAAACTGAAAGGAAGCCAACCATTTGCCGGGCCCCCCCCATTTTGACACATACCCAAATGAACCATCAGTGTCCTCCACTCGCCTTTTTTGACCGCGGCGCCGAATCCCAGCCTCCAGGCAGCCGAGATGACTGAAGCGTCAAACCTCTCCACCTGGCAAAGTGGCTGTTGCCAAAGCCTGATTGCTTTTTTTTCTATCTCCCTGCGAACAAGCCACCTAAGGTTACTCCCAAAACAATCCCTAGCTGGTGCCCCTTCGGTTTGAACTTTGAACCCCCCCCCAAGCCCTGAGCGGGTTGCTCCTAGAAAGTACCCAAAGTCCTGGCTTACCGAAAGGATCTTCCAAGAAAGGGACTCAAGTCCGGCAACTTGGCAACTTGCGAGGTGAGAGACACACTCCGAACTTGCACGAGCGTTGAAATCCGACCCGATCCGGCACAGGAATGGCCTCAAGGACTCAAGGCTGAAACCAGGCCTGTGTTTCATACGTGGCTCAAAATCAAGCTCTGGCAAATGGAAACACGAGCTAGAAACCTGTCCAACGCCTGGTGGTTTTATTTTGACCCATATCCTGCTTGTTGCGGTCGCAAAGGCGTGCTCCGAAATGGGTAGAACAACGGCAGAGCGAAACCTTCTCAATTACCAGAGACTTGGGCGGGCTCGAAGCAACGGACAAACAGAATGCCCCCCCCCCCTCACCCGTAAAGACTCAAATTGAGAAACCTATCTTTTCAACGTGACAGCCATAGGCTACCCCGTGCTTCCGGTTTCTACCTCTATCTTTTGCGTGATAGGTTTCCCTACAGTGGCTTGCCTGGAAGCACTGGGCTAAATATATACGTTACCCAGAACGCGCGGTATGAACGCCCCTTTAGTTCTGCCGCAAGCTACCTCAATTCTTGGAAGCCAGCATCGCAAGGGGTCACAATTGCGCACGGCTTCATATGGGTGGGGTGTCTTGTTTGAGGCTCGGTACCCTTCGAAAGTTGGCTTGCAGGGAAACCAAGAGGAAAACCTCCATTTTAGGTGTCCTGGCCATCTGCACCTATGCCACGGAGACAGCCACATTTCTTCCGGGGAGCGGCGTGTCACACCCAAAACCGCTGACTTTGGCTACCAGAAAGACCTCTTGCAAACAGTACAGCCTCACTAAAATCCATATATACGTTGGGCGTCTTTGGCCAACAGCAATGACGTTTCGCGCTTGCAGAAGATGAGTGAGGCGTTCATGAGCTGCTCAATTGGGCATCTGGTCAAAAATGGGGGCCCCTCAGTGGTCTATTTAGAAGGATTTGACGGCACCCTGGTTTTGACAGCAATTCATGTAAACTCATGTATTACAAGGCATGCAGGGTGAACATGGCTTCAATAGAAAGCTGCATGGCTGCATGGCGGTCAAACATTTTGTTCAAGTGTTTCCTTCTGGGCAGGGACCAATGATCAGCTTCCCTCTTATTTGCGGTTTGGATTGGTGGTTTGGAAATCCGGGGGTGGTTACCCGAAACGAGCTTAGTTTGTTGGCCCTTGATGGATCTTAAAAGGGCCCCGATTGGTGCCCCCGTCTGGCTCCCCATCTTGGCAGCACATCGATCCTAAAATCGGATCGGTGCTTTGGTTCCCGAGCGAGCTCGAGCCATGTACCCAACGACTCCAGGCAAGGGTGGAGGAAGGTCTTGGCCCACCAAAAAGATACGCCGAACACAATGTGCCCTGACTACCCTAAAATATAACATAGTTTGGAGGAGACCCGAAGGTATTCTCACTTAACCAGTGGGTCCGAGATTACAGCAAAACTGTCTGTGCTTGCAACCAGGATCAACAATGGAAGCTGACAGGAAGGTGTGACTACTTTCCCTTTGGGCAAGCCCCCGATCGTCCACTTCCACTAGAGGGAGGGCAAGTCACACGACACGGAAGTGAGATGGAGACTCCGGTCGCTTTTCTGAGCCGATTCGTCTCCTTCGCACCAGGGCAATGAAATCACTGGCTAGGATTAAAGTCTTTGCTTCCATCGTCACTTTAAGGACAAATATGAAACATGGTACCAAACGTGCCACATCTTCCCGACAATTCTCAAAGACCTCTTTGGTAAAGCGAAACCAAGCTTTTGGGTGTGAGTCAAAATAGGTGCCCACAAAAAACCTACGGTCCCCTGTGGTTTAATTTTGACCCATACCCAATTGGAGCGTTCCCGTCCTTGGAGAAACACCCATATTCCCCTTGGTGGTTGGACACATCGGGTGATTTTCAACAGAATCTGTTCATTGAGACGCGCTCGGCAAAGCGCGCGACGCAAGGACTCAGTTGCCCGAACTGCTACCGTCATCTCGATACCGTTCCAGGAGTTGGTGGTAAAGCCCGGAGAGCTGGTCCGCCCCTCCTTTGAATAGGAGCAGCAAGAAGGCGCAAACGGCACCAAAGGGCACATAGAGGAACAAGAGGAGGTAGTAAATCGGCACGTATGTTGCAAGTTTCTCGGCCTCCGCCTTCGGGTTGACCAAGTTCAGGAATGGGCTGTCAGCCGTGAGGGAACTTAGCGAATACTGCCGAGCCGCCGCTTCCAACTCAACGCGAAATGTGTCCATGCTGGATTCCACCTGCGCCATGGGAGATATCCCAAACTTTGTGATACCCATGGATTCCTCGGACTACTTTGTCACTGGAAAGCAGCTGTGCCAGACGGATCCAACCCAAAGATTATTGTTGTTTTATGGTTGAAATGAAACATGGAAAACCAAAAAGGCAAAAGGTGAAAAGGGTAAGCCTTCAGTCTGGCAACTGCTGGGGAGTCCCTTGGCACAGAGTGTTTTTCCTGCAGCAATTTCTCTCCCACACTGCCTGCGTCATCTCTGGGTAATGATTCAGGAGATGCGTGGTGAATCCGCACAAACCTCTTCCCCCACCGCAGTCTGGGACCTTCGGAGGTTCGGGGAGCTGGCCGTACTGCGATGCGCCCGAAGTGAGGGCCCAAGCACATGCCTGCGGCTCCTCGCAGTCATCAGACATCTGAAGACCTGGAGGTCCAGAGTAGTCGCATTGAAAAACCGGCCTTACCAAAAAATAGCAATCGTTCCACAGCGTTGTGACGCTGTTCTTTCTCCGCGTGCCCCAACCTTGGTCGATCCACTTTGCGAAAAGTCAGCGCTTAGTGGGACTCTAGAGAACAAACTTTAAACCACACCACTCGACACGCAAGAAAAAGTCCCTTTCCGCAACTTGTCCGTGTTTTTTTCTTCTTTTTTTTCCGTTGAATTCCCCCTTTCACCCGAGCAACAATGGCTGATGTTGATCGCAATCGATGGGGGCATCTCGCCGTGCTCCGTCAAAGCGCCGTCGTAGAAGTAGATCGCACCTGGGCCAGAACCCCCCCCACCCGGTGTGGCTTCCCTTTTCTTGGTGGCTTGGATTGGTGGTTAAGGGGCTTCCCATTTACCCCGTACAAAAACCAACGATGCCAATTTCCAAACCACCAATCCAAACCACGAACTAAGGGTTACCTGAATGTTGCAGGCTGAAAGGAAAAATGCAGGACGACCCCAAATCAGCTTCCTCCCAATTGGTGGTTTGGTGGTTAGTTGCTAGGGGTGCAAACCCCAGGGTTCAAATCCAAGTCCAAAATCCAGGCCACCAAAATCCAGGTCGCCTGCCGAAAACCGGCCCAAAGCCCAGAAAAAAGGTGAAGCTAAGTCCGGCCAAAAGGTACCAGTGGAGTCCTGCCAGCGCGCCGTGTCGCAGACGCTGATGTGCCGCAGGGGCTCGGAGCTCTCCTGAACAGCACAACTAGCTCCTCCAGTAGAGAGGTTAGAATAAGGGGACCAACTTTTTGCGGTTTTGTCGATTTTAGTAGGGGAACCCTCCCCCGAAAAAGAAACGGTGAAAGGGCATGATCCTGGGGGACCTAGACAAATTGACCAGAAAGGTCTGAACTTCTTTTATTTGACAGCAACATGGTCCCACCAGAAAGAATAATGTCCAAGAGGTAGCTCAGGAAGTGAGACATGAGCGGAAGCAAAAAAAAAGAAGAAGCTGAACAGCATGCTGAAAACAGTGAAGCTTCAACCCCCCCCCCAAAAAAAATATATATAAGTATATTCGATTGCGTGGTATCCGAACCTTCCCCAAAATCTTAGCCCGGAGCCGCTCCCCGCACCCTGTCTGGGCCAGTCGACTGAAACACCTGGATTCGCCTTTTTTAGAGAACCCCCTTTTGGTTGGTTAGGAAAATCTAAAGGACCGCCGCAATCCTGTTTGGGCTAGTTTCCCAATAAGACAACCCCACACAAGGTGCCATTTTGTTACTATCCCAGATGGACATTCATTTAACTCAGTGGTGAGATTACCCAACAGGGAAGCCCTGGGCTTAAATCCCATCCTGCAATCCTAAAGTCGTCAGAAAATGGAACCCTGAACCCACACACTTCAAGCTAGCGTCGATCTCCCAGTACCTCAGCACTGGTGAATTCAGCCCTAGCCCCAGCGCCAGCACGCCAGCGCACACAAAGAAGCAGGGACAAATGCAGCACATCCCCACAGGATTGCCGCAAAGACCCACAGATATGGCGCCCCCAGACCTCGCTCCGAAGTGACAACTGTTTGCTGGCTGCAAAGAGAAATAAAGAAAACCTAGGGTGGTCTAGGGCAAGAAAGGAGAAGTCTGGCAATCACACCTTGGTCAACGTTCAAACCGAAAACTTATACTATGCGTGTTTGTGCTTTACTTGTTCCTTTGTCCAGTTTAGACAATGACAAAAAACACAAATCTCCGATACCAAATGATCCAGACACAAAGACGTTAAATCCCAGCCCGAAGAATAGGGCCAGAATGGGGATTAGCACTACCGCGATGCATCCGCAACTTGCGATCCCCTTGAAGTTGATCAGCACGGTCAGCCCGTATGGTACCAGTGCCGCAACTCCGAGCATGCCTGCCTTTGCAGACGCCGCGTCATCCATCGCAACAAGCAACAAACTAGCGAGAAGCCTCAGAGTTGGAGAAATCCGAGTTGAGGATACTGAACAGAGGCCACATGTGTGTAGAAATACAAGTGTGTATACATATACTATATATATATATACATAACTACACACATTGTATACATATGTATGTAGCAGTAGATCTTGCTTTCGCCTTGCAAGGTCTAATTTCTGCTTGGTGTCCTTTGGTTCCCCCTTTACAACCATCGGTACAGGGGCCTAAACTTCACACAATTCCACGAAATACCCATGTGTGCCATGGCCAAACCTCGTGTGATGGTGTCTGAAAATAAGAGGTTGCTGACCCTGCTGACCAACCCCAAGTGGAGTGGTATTTTTGAGCCATGTGTCGCGACACACGGTTGCACTTTTGCCCCGCCTCCCTCTCCCCAGACAACTTTAGCATACCAACCGGAATTCCCATGGGTTGGCATGCCGATCAACTCCTCTGGTGGTTTGGAGCCGAATCGCTTTGCAGGTTGGGGAGAGTTTCACCCATTCACCTTCTACAACAAGCGGGGGTTTGTTGAGCCCCAAGCCACCAACCCAAGCCGCCACGTAGTTTCAAGCTATGTTGCCCGTAGAGTTCCAAATTACAGGTCTTTGACCAAGCCGATTCTTACTTGGCTCCTCGGTCCAAGTTGGATATGATATAACCATAGTTTAGCCTCATACACGGTAACATCGACTTACCGGAGGCGGGTGGAACATCCGAGTGAACAGGGGCTACTCCAACCCTTGCTTGCCAGAGCCCTCGAAAACGTCCAGCGGCTGGCAAGAGCCTCCCCATTTTGGTAGCGTCCCCCTGTGCCCCCAAAAATTCCAATGATAGCCACGGGTTGCCTGTTGATTTCCCTTTCAAACCACCAAAAGGGGGGGGTACCCTCACACACAGACAAACCCCAATGTCCCCTGCTTGGCGGAATTTCGCTCTGAGCCTCTCCTTGCTTGGCTGGCACTCCAAGCAGAAGAGCACAAGAACTCAAAAAGGTGCGCAATACATGACATCTTTTTGAGGGTACCCTCTCTTGTGCCTCTTGAAGGAACCAAAGGAAGGGGGGGTCCCATAGGAAAAGACGCGCCCACACGTTTGATTCTCAGGTTGGTTTGCAGTTTGGCCTGGGTGAAAGTGGATCGTCTACATGCATGTACCCTTCGCCCTCAGACCCTAACCTTGTTTGGAAGGGGGATTTGAAGGAGGAAGTTAGCTTAGGGCTTCCTCCTTACGGGATGTGGAGCTGCGTGCCTCCCACTTGAAGCTGCGCGGCGCTCGGTCGGCATACAACTCGTAGCACCAGCCCACGCTCATGATGTATGTCCTGGCGGCTTGCTTCAAAGATTACGTGTTGGGTTGGGACAGGGTGAGGCTTCCGAACAAATTTGAAGTGAAGACTGAATGTCCTGCCAGCTGAGGTTCACCGCACACAAAGGTACAAAGGCTGCTTAGGCCGGGCTTGATAGGTCTTGGGTGGCGTATGTCCAGCCAGCTTTCATTGAGTTGAAGTGTATGGTGGGTCTTGGGTTGCGTATGTCCTGCCAGCTTTGAATGAGCTGTATTTGGCAGGTCGGCGTGTCTCGGCAGCTTACATCGCTCCCCCTTGAAACTCAGGAGCCGTCCGCCCACTGGTGAGACACTATCGTAAATGTTCCAAGGGCGTCCCGACAGTTGTTCCCCACAAAGCCACAAAGGCCGTTGAGGCCGGGTTATTGGTGTCTTTCCCCCCAAACCAAAAAGATTGGTGATTGTCCGTGTGGTTTCCATTTTAAAGCCACCAAGAAAACCAAAGAGGAGGCACCCATATGTTGGGTGCCTCAAGTTTGTGAAGAGCTCCGGAACCATCCCGCCCAGACGCTGGAAATGAAGTCATGGGGATTGGGTTCGCCTGCTTCTGCGTCGATACCCTTTGTGGAAGGGAATCAAGGAAACCAGCCACCAGCACTTCTGAAGGTTGACATTTTTGCTTTTGAGACAACCCCAATTGTATGAACAGGGTCCCCTGCCTATGCATGACTGAGATGGTGTATTGATGTTTCCCCCACAAAGGCTGAAAGTTTAAGCCAAAAAAGACATTCACTTTCTGTTTCCTTAGGTTGCTTCCGCACGGGTACGGCTAATATGACAAGATGCGAGAGTCAATCCCCAAGTTGGTTTGCCCTACCCCCGCCCCGCGGTGGTCCTCATTTGATCGCCGTTGCACTTGTCGTTCATAATGTAGTCCACCTGGCCATGGGTCAAAGCCAAATCGTACCCCCAGTGAACATCCCAATCCCAACTAAGGTGGTGCACCTACCCCTAAAATGGTACCATTGGTGTTGACCCACAGCCACCTATCTTTTCGAAAGCTGTCAAGAAAAGGCACGCCATGACGTGTCAAAACAGGCCCAGAGAATGGGGGGGGGCTGTCCTTCGAGTGTCCCTTTAAACCTTAAGCCAAGGCTACAAAGGGTATCACAAAACGAAAACACACAAAATCAGTTTCAGTTGACTCGCATCAGGCAAACCAACAAAAGTGCTTCAATCTCACAACATGGGCATCTACACGTGCCCTGTCAATATCAGCAAAAAGAACCGGGCCCAGGGTAACAAAGAAGATACGACATATGCGGGCGTCGAGTTGAGCTGCCCACCTTTTGCAATAATTTACCTGCCTTCCCCATCGAGTCAGCATTTCCAGGTATGGTTTTTGCAGATATGGATGCTGATATACCACCAATTTTGCAGTTCGTTGAGAGAACGCGGAGATCGTGCTTGGTGTGTCTAAAAATAGGAATCGGTCCACCCCCAACATGGGATCTTTTAATTTTCTTGTTGGTTCCCATATCAAAACCGCGAGGAAAGAAGTGCGGTAACCTCCCGTCCACGTTGCCATCACACCTGACGTTTCGGAGAGGGGGGGGGAGGTCCTGGCTTCAACCATGTTCCTAAGGGCCACACACATCCTTAAGAATCATCTCGAGTAGCTCCCAGAAAGGAACCCATGGGTCAGAGGGGAAAAATGGGAACTGGAGAACACTGCGGGAGCTTTGGATAGTCCGTTTGGATTTGGTTGAAAAGAGACTTCCCTAGTAGATGAGAAACATTATTTCCCTGGTAGATGAAACACCCAGGAAACACATCACCATCTATTTTCCACCCATAAGCAACCAAAAAACAACACCCATGTGTGGGAGGCTCCCCACAAGAGGAAAAGAAAAAGAAGAAAATAAACAGATGTCAGGACTGATTGTGCTTCGGCGGACAAAACGTTTCAGTGGTAGCAAAAGACTTGGACTGGCCTCTCAAAAATGAGTGCCGCTGCAGACGCCCTTCGGCGGTTTATGGGGAAACAGCTCACCCAAAAGCTAAAAACCGGATACTTGAAGTCCAGGGACTCAGGACTTGGTGTTTTTTTTAGATTTCGTTTGTTGCACGGCTTCAAAGGGAAACCAAAAGGACAACCACCATGTTGGGCTTCACACAAAAACAAAAAAAACACCCAGTAAATCCCAGGCAAGCCACTATAGTAAGTTGAAGGTGTGTTCCCTTGGTTAGCCACAAAGTGGGACCCCCAACAATGGTCGCTTTCATTTGGCTTCCCTTTACACCTACCCTAAAGGGCAGCGTACCAGTTTGCAGCACCAGCCTCTCAAAAATCTGCTTTAACACCCCCAAATGAGATTGCATCTAAGTTCGTCAACCACACAGGACTTTACTTGCAAAGGCAGGTGAACAAACCCTAACGCAATTGTTTTTGTATGTGTCAAAATATGAGAGCCCCAAATTGGTCGCTTTCCTTTTGGCTTGCCTGCAAACCATGTTGAAAAGGGTACCCTCAAACAACTCACGCACCCACAGACACATGGGAGTGAATGCGTTTAAGGGTACCCCTTTCTGTGATTTCAAATGGAAACAGAAACCAAAAGGAACACCAACATTTCCATGTTGCGTTCCCGGACCCTGAAAAAAAGGAAGCATCCGAATGGATGCCACGAAACCACGGAGCCGAAAGTAGCACTTCAAAAAAACGGAAACTCGATCCTGCGTGACGTTGGTGGTCGTGGGGTCCACCCGGAAGGTCTCGCGACGGCGGATTCGTTTGGAACGAAGAAACTCCTTACTCGGAGGTTGGTGGCCAAGTGAATAGGTGGTAAGGGCTAACCCCACTAAGGGGAACACATAGGTGGATTACGACCTAGGTTACCAACAACTTTCTGACTTGGCCAAACACCCAAGTACCAACAAAAAGTCAGCTTACATGGATGGTTCGTCTTTTTGCTGGATACCTCTCGCAGTGCTTCCAGGCGTTGCCAGTGTAGTAGGTATCCAGGGAACACCATCATGAAAAACCTAGAGGTAAAAAATTCGAAGAAGAGTTACCCCTAAACTGGCTTGCCTGGAAGCACTGCGTACTCCTCCAAATGAATAATAGAATCCATCTTTTGAGGGCTTGATGTCAACCCCTGACCAAAGGAGGTATTTGCCATGGAAAACCAGGCTTTTCAAATTTACCCAAGAAAAAGGTGGGGTATTTGTGTAGTGGCAGTCATTGAAGACTGCAGGAATTGAGAGCCGTACATGGATGGCTCATCTCTTTTCAGGGGACCCTTTTCAGCTTGCTTTTAAATGGGAATGAAAGGACACCTCTGGTTTGTGCCTGGGCAAACCCACATGTTGTATACAGGCTCCTGACCAACCCCCACCAAACACATTCCCAAACACAATTTGTCGGGAAAACTGCAACTGGCGATCCAGGCAGGGCAAACGGAGAACAAAAACAAGCAAGAGATGTGATTGGGTCTGGAAAAAAAAGTGACAATTTCACCACCGGTGTAATTCGGCCTCCAGTGGATTTCCAGTGGTTTCCTCCATTTTCCCTTTCGACCAAAGAGAACGGTTCATCGCTAACTTCAAACGCCAGATCGGAGCCCAGGCCGCGTTGGTTGGAAGTATCCTCTGGCTTGCTTGAGTGCACCTGTGGGTCGATTTAAAGGCAAACCAAAAGGACACCCGCCTTTTGGGGGACCCCCTAGTTTAGGACACCCAAAACGGAATTGCCCACCAAATGGCTACGAATGACGCGAAAAGAAGAGCTCAGCCGCGCAAAACGCTCGCACTCGGTCGCAGAGCTCTACAAAAGGATAGGTGGTAGCTGGGGGCTTCTCAGAATAGGGACCCCCAAAACTGGTTTCGCTTTGGCTTCCATCTGAAGCCAACCAATTAAAGAGGGGTCCACCATCTTGAGAAATTCAGGTCCCTCCTTAATTGTTCTCATTTGAGGCCGGATATGTCCTTTGACAACTTTGGAACATTGCTTTCCTCAGATTTCACACCAGCCACCAAACAAATCTTGATTGGGGGGAGAATAGGAGTCCAGACCTTCAGAAGAGGCCGCCTTTCTTTAGGTACTTCAAGTTAGGAAGTGGTTAGCCACTTGGCTTAGAAACTGCTTCTAAGTGGGTTATAATCTAGGGATGCAACTTACTAACTTGGCCGAACACCCAAGTAACTTTAGTTTCAGGTACACCCCCCTTCACCAAAAAGCTGGGTTTCCAATCACACCACTAGAGCTCGGGCGCTTCTTTGGCTTTACCCAGTGCTTCCAGGCGTTTCGCCACCATAGCAGGCAGAGCAGCCTTTTCGTGCCTTGGACGCACCCCTCAAAATGAGGCCATTTGATCCCACGCATCGAAAGTTGCCCATCGGAATCTTTCTGTCTCCAGCTGCCGTAATGAGGAATACTTAAGTGTCGTGTAGAACCAAGAGGTCAAAATGCGTACCTGGAGTCACCGAATCCCTTTCCCCCAGAACTGTGAGTGGCTTTAGAGTGCAGCGGCTGAAGAACAACGCAACCAGACGATCCAAGTGCTTGCCTACCCCAGCGACTCCATTTCTCTCTGTGCTAAAACTTGGAGCATCCCATCGAAAAGTAAAGGACAATTGTTTGGGTTGCCTATAGTGGCGAAACCCCTGGGATCTGGGGGTTCTTTCGCGGCGACACGCCAAGCATTGACCGAAAATAAATTGAACGGATCGCAAGGATCGAGCCTGAGTGCCATTGCTCCATCTCATGCACTCCGTCTGCACCGGGTAGGTGTAGATCTCGGGGGAAAAACAGCCAACTACCCCTCCAAACAGTGTCCCGGCGGATGTCCAAGGGGGAAAAAAGAAAGGGCACCCTTCTTTTGTTGATGTTCAAAAGCGCACCAATGGGAGTGAGGCACCGCCCCTTTCGCGGCGACAAAGCCAAAGCTAGCACAAACCGGCCGTTCATTTAGATGTGTCTTTCCGATTTCAGGGTTGCTCCCAGTCGACCCGAGGGTAGCAAGTTGGCCCCTGGGGGCTTTGTTTTGAGGTTGAGGCAAAGCTGAATTTGCAGGTTTTCAACGAGACTGCCACTTTTGCCAGTCCAATGTTCTTTTCCCTGAGGGGTTGATGACCATTCCGACCCACCTGGAAGGAGGGGAGCAGTGGGTGGCCAAAAAGAAACACGACCCACATTGCGATTGCTTCAACCATCGTGGCTTGAGTACGTTTTGGACAAGTGAGCTCTGCGGCCCTGCCGATCGCCGGAACGCCATGCAATGCATTGACTTACCAAAACTTGGCACTGCAAGGGATCTAGACACAGACTTCCCCCCAAGACGATCCATGCGAGCCACAGTCAAGCCACGGTGAACAGCCATCTCTTACTCGCAACTTGGCGATCCAATGTGATTCCCTTTACAGAAGCTTCCTAACCTGGTAGGTATGTTGGGCAAATAAGGAAGTGGATTCTTGCATCCCAGACTTGACATGGCAATTAAAAAAATGGCACAACCCCAGCCAGGGTACATCAAAAATAGGATGATCAGATTCTGTTTCATATGGGTGTGTCTTGTTGAGGGGATCCCCGTTTATCGATTTTAAGGGAGACCAAAAAGAGACGTGCCCATATATAGTCAACCATAATACAACAAATGTGACTTCGGAGAAGACCCAGAAGCAACTGAAACGCATATTCCCCTTTCACCCCTGAGTTTGTTGGGGCCTTTGAAAGATTCACTGTCGGAATGCCCTTCCTCTCTGTCAGTCTCTTCGCTGGCCCTGGTATCTTCCCCCCATTTGGTTTGCTTCTGACGGGCCCCCGATTTCGTTGCAGTTTACAGCCAGTTTGAAGCACCAACCTCCAAATTTACACCCCCACATGAGCTTGCATCTAAGTTTGTCCAGCACACAGGGCTTTACCAAGAGAGGTGAACCCTAACGCATTTGGGTATGTGTGAAACCACGGGCACCTCTGAAAATGGTGCTCCTGTTGTATTATCCCTTTCAATCAGGGTGAAAAGGGCACCCTCGAAGAGGAACACCCCCTACTCGTTTTGCTCACCTCACGGCTTTCCAGGAAATGCTTCAGACCCAAACAGAGAAGCCTATCTCACCGAATTTGTGGAAATTGGGCCCGGAGATCTGCACCAGTGTTCAGCTTCTGCTTCTGCAGGGGAGCCCCCCCATTTTGGTGGCCTTTCTTTTGGTTTTCGTATTAACTAACCGCAAAAAACCGGGGGGGTACCAACTCCAAAAGAAGAGACAAGGCACCAAATTGGGTCTCTCTCAAAACAAGGATTCGGACCCACAAAATGGCCAAACGGCTATCCTTTGTGTCCCTTTATCCCCACCCCAAAAGGGGGTGTCCCTTTCACCTCATTCAAACAAAAAACAACAAAAACACACACACACACACACACACACACACACACACACACACACACACACACACACACACACACACACACAACACACACACACACTCATACATACATGGGTGTGTTGGTTTTTCGGGGCCTCCCAAGATTGAAGTGTTCCTTTGGTTTTGAACCTCAAACCCACCAAACCAGGCGACAGCGTGCGCCTTTCGCCTCACGAAAAGTTCACGAGCCGCCCATCGAGCGATCCGCCTGGTAGGGGAGCCCCAGGCACTCGGCCTCGGAGAAGAACCTCTGAGTGGTGACCTCGCGCCCGCGCCACGCGGGCCACGCGCGAGGCGCTGCCAGCGGAGAAGAAAAAAACCGGGCTCGAGCCGAATGGAAGGCCCTTTGTTGGATCGCTACGTCCCTGGTTTTGGTGGCTTTTGAGTGGGAAAACCAGAAGGAAAGCCGTGTTTCCTTTTTGGGGAGTTGCCGAAATCCGTTTTTATTGTTAGTCTTCTTTTTTTTTTGGGGGGGGGGGGTCCGATTCCTAAGAGGAACTTCCCCACACAAACAAGACCAAACCCATCAAAATGTTGGGACCCCTCCACAAAAAAGAGACAAGTTAACAATTCCTGAGAAGCACCAATTAGTTTCCGTTTCAAGGAAAACCAAAACAACAACCACCATTCTGGAGGGGTTCCCTAAAATAAGATGCACCCATTGGAGTACTGCAAACTACCAACACACACGATGACGTTGCGGCTGGGCAGTTCCACTTGGAGCACTTGGAAAGATGGAGCAGGCGCTGCAGTGGTCCAAGCGGTGGGGCGAACCACCGGGAGATCGTTGAACCACTTGCCGCAAGGACATTTGGAGGGCCTTGTGCACATGGCCTTTTCAAAGCCTTTCCCGTCGGTTTCATTGTGGGGACATGCAACTGTTCGGGAGGCTAAAATGGGCGATATTTTAGGGGACCCCCCCAAACAAAAAATGGTTGGTGTCCTGTTGGTGTCCGTTCAACCAACCAAAAGGGGGTACGAAGCCTCAAACAAAGACACACCCATATTGATTTGTTCCGACATGACTTCATTTGGTCAGCTTTAAGCTACTCGCTGCCCTATTTGGAGATCCCACCGATCAAAGCCCCCTCCACCCCCTCCCCACTTACCAATAGTCAACCGCACTAACGTTAGATTCCCATCAACGATAGGAGACCCCAGGTAACCTTGCCCAATGCTTCCAGGCAAGCCACGAGAGCATGCAACCAGACTATTCATGTAAAACACTAGAGGTAAGAAGCCCGGCTTACCCATAGTGGCAAAATAAGCCTCTAAGCAAGTAGAGTGGCGGGGGGTTCGGGTGCAAAACAGATTGACTAAATTGAGTCGCGGCAGAATATGAGCACCTGCCCAGACACAAACATGGAACCTGCAAACGAGGTCGAAGAAGGCCACTTTCCTTTTGAGTGCTCTATGTTTGTTTTGGGCGGGCAATTCTTTCGGCCCTAACTAGAAGCACTCGCGACTCCAACCACTTGATTCAGCCGGACTCAGTTCCTGGCCGCCAACCGAGAGCAGCTCTCGCCCTGGCAAAAGCATTCAAACGCGGGGCTTCACCAAAAGCTAGTCGGGCCCCGCGGTGGCCGAACAATCGGCTCAAAACATGTCCGCTGCAGGTTGCTCCCCTCCCCCACCCCCAACAAAAAAATCGACCAAGGTTTTTTCCTCCAACTGCCCTGAACCCTCCGGAAACCTCCCTGAAATTTGCTGCTCCGAATCACCCCAGAGCCTATTACTTAGGCAGAAACCCCATGGAAGAGAGAATGTGTTCGCCCGCCCTACCCCCCCATACAACAAACAAGCAACAAGATGTGCTTGAAAAAACAACAACAACTGTGTTTCTGTCGGAAAATGGGAAAAAGACTGGTCGGGCAAAAAGTTTGGCACTGATTTGACTTGATATTTGTTTGACTTAGGAACCCCCTCCTCTAAGATCCTTGACAGGTCGGACCCAAAAATAAATTCCCACAATCCACGTCTAGAAATCTGCAACAGGCAGTTCAACGCGAAATTTGCCAAATACCCACCAAGAAAGAAGTTCCCGCAGATGTAAGCCCATTTTGCTCGAAAGGCAGTGTCTTCTGCATGCCCAAAGCAACCCCGCCCGAAAGTTCCATGAAAAATCCTTGCATAACCGTCTGCACACGAGAGAAAAGAACAAAGAGAGTAACTCAGAGTAACCCGCCGAAGTTTTAGCGCTGGGATCCTGTGTTGCCCCACCCAAAGGAAGAAATCAGTCGTTTCACTTTGTTCAACAAGGTGTGGACCCTCTTTTCCAATCATGGAAGCAGAGGTCGGGTTTTGGAGGCTCCATCTCCGCCCTGGCCGAGAACACGAATGGCGCCGAGATCGCTCGGAACGCATGCGAGACATGCGGAAGGCGCTGGAGCTAAGAGCCTCTTGGCCCCCAAGATGACACACCAAATGTGTCGTATTTAGTCGACCTTAAAGTATGCTCTCAAATGTGTCTAGCCCGGACGCTCATGGACCCTTCGAACGCCGCGACACAAAAAAGTGCCCTCAAAGCTCGCCTATGTTGAAGGAAGCCCGGGTAGTCGGGAGCCATTGGGTAAAAAACCTTCTGGTGGGCCCGGTGGGGGGCCTGGAAAACCAGGCTTTCAAAAAAAGAAACCTTTAAGTATTTGGAGATGGAAGAAGGCCTCCCTCGTTTGCCCCGTTCTTTTCAGAAAAAAAAACACCCTCAAGAACGAAGCAGGGTATTTGGAGTACATCGCCATGTCCTGATCGAGCCGAGCTCCCGGGCCACGCAGGTGGAGGACCGCAACCGGCTCTTGATCACCGCAAAGTAGCCTCGACCGCCGTCGGCTTTGGCAGCGCAAAACAGAAAACATGTTCGTAAAACAGCACCGAGCCTGCGGTGCTGTAGTAAGCTGGGTTTCACAAATGGTAAACCATACGGACAAAACACTAAACCATAGGGGAAACATATGGCAAACTAGAAGGCAAAGGAAAAAGGGACCTTGCGATATGGCAGCATCCACCGTGCGCGATAAAAAGGACAGAGACTGGCGACCTAAAACCAATTTTCCAGTAGAGGCAGAAGCCCTTCTTTGGAGCAGGTCTGTGGAGCTGTTGGGCTCCAAAGGGTATGGTGTCAAAGCCAAATAGGAAACCAACCTGTGGAACCCCCTCTTGGGAAGCCCGTTCTTCGGGTTGAGGGAACTCAAAAAGGACACCGAAGCCCAAGCTTCATCCAGCCAAATTTACTGCATTTACTCCACACCCCTGGAACAAGGGGCGAGCAATGGCCCCCATGAAAGAACACCAAAAGATAACCAGACCAATGATCTAGGCGTCTCATTTGGTCATTTGTTGGTCCGGCTCGGCTTGCTCCGAGAAACCAGCTGCATGCTGCTTCAACAACCTCCGGCGACATAGGCTACCCGTTGCTTCCAGTTAGCTCTAAGAAACAAGGGTTTCTTACCTCTAGGTTTTGCATGATGGTGTCGTCTGGTTGCCCACTATAGTAAATTGAAAACGCTGGGCTAGCTGTACAGGAATACTTCCAAACTCTTCTGAAGTTAATGCCAGAGACCGCGTCGAGTGTTGTGATCCAACCTGCGAATCACACATAGTGTGGTGGCTTGCCACTCATGGGCCATGTTCAAAATACAAATAACTCACCTATTTTTCCTGAAAAAATCACCTCAAAACGAGCAAAAGAACACATTGGACTTGACTTGGCTTTTTTCGACTGAGTCATCAAGGTTGAGCGAGACATGTGAGCCGCAAACCGCTAGTGGTTCTGTGTGTTCCTAAGTTGAGACAAATCGTGCTATAAAACCGACAGGGCCAGGCAGTCAAACCACGTGCCCAAAATGCTCAATTATGGGGGGGGGGGGGGTTGGGCGCATCTCGCGCCTCGTGCTCGTCGTAAGTCAATGCAATGGCTTCTTTTGCAACCGAGGTCTAAGGACTATGAGATTCCCCAAGCAGAATAGCAGAATCAGGTTGAAATGACCAAAATGCGCCTTCATTAGGTCTCCAGTTCTCCCGTCAGCAAGCTCGCAATTGTTCAAAGGAGCCGTCCCAATGCTTTTCTATCCTGCCCTGAATTTTCTCAGGCAGAGAGTCGAAACAAAGACATCCCCTTTTTGGATGGTCCAAGTAGCCGCCAGTGGCTTTGTTCAGGCCGGTTTCAAGCCTCCCAAATATGGACCCTGAGCTCGATTCTGTGGCATGTGGCCATGACGTTGAATTGGGGCACTTCAGCGACATCATTTACACCGGGGGTCATTATCCACCAAGCATTTTGGAGCGTATGTTATCTTAGACACAGACCTATCTAATTAGATTGCTTTAATGTCTATGATGATGCTTTTTGCCAACGCAGATGTTGCAACCATCTCCTGCTTTCACAAAAAAAAGCGAGAAAGGGATGCCCTGAAGAACCTGCATCATGGCTAACTGCTCGTTTCACCCCCAAGTCGGTGAGTCTGTCGGTCCACCCAGGACCGCTTCTTTAGCTCGCGGCCGCCCACAAAGCGCTCGCACTTGCCGGAGGACAGGGTCCTCACGAGGCGAAACCAGGTGTCCCTTAAACAGGGCTTCGGCAGAAAGACGTGTTCTTTAAATCCCAAACTCCAAATCACCAATTCACTGGGCCCTTCAAAGTGGATGGTTTGGACCGTTCCCAAAATTGGGTGGCTTTCCATCACCCCACAAGGGAAAGGGATGCCAAAAAAATGTTTCTTCACCTTTGGGCTGCTTTTGTAGCCCAAAGCAACCTGTTTGCACAATTCCCCGAAGATGTTCAACTAAAGCGGCCCATGTCTTTTTCAGGATCACTGGGTCACTGGGTAAGAGAAGAGTGATTTCCGACCATTCTGAACCCTGGGATCCTTTCCAGAAAAAAACACACACCCAATACCACGCACACATTGCTGAAAAGAACCATAGAAAATAATTGGAAGTCAACCCTTCTAAGAGAAGCCGGGACAGGGTAACAGCAACCGCAACAGCCTTCAGGATGTCTTCCCAAAATGAAATGGCCGGCTCAGAGCTCGGCCCTCCGATTGATGGTAGAACGTGATGCTTGATTTGGTGGATCTTGCTACAACTTACACTGGAGGGGAAACACAATGCAAGGGAAACACTCTAACCATTTAAGTCCCACTGATAGAGCAAACTGTTGGGTGAATGGTTAAACTCCAAGAAAAGAGCTACAGGGGCAGGCCACTCCCGGTTTTGCTGCTGTATGAATTTCTTCCCATAGTTGGTTCGTTAGACAACTGTTCTCTCGCGGGCTTGCCTCAACTCCCCCCCCCCTGGCTCCCCGCAAACAAAAAGTCACCAGGTGAGCTCAACCAAAACCAAAACTAGACGGACGTGCCATGGTCAAAGTTTGCTGTGCCTTCTATGGACGTGAGAAATTAGAGAAGCCCCTGGTATTGTAGTTAAAATCTAGAGAGTCCCCCATGTCCCACCGCAAACTACTTAACCAAATCTCACCCCCAAAAAAGAAGTGTTGAGACCCGCTCAACCTCACTTTAAATCAGGATTCCCACACACCCTTTTGGGCCGGGTGGGGTGTCTAAGGGTAAAAACTAGAGAACTCTCCAAAAAAAAAGAAACCTCGACAAAGTGACACGCGGCCACGTTTCCTCTTCGGACTGAACTGCGTATGGCACGCGTCGATGTAGTCATAGATGTCGTACCTCAAAGCTAAGTTCCTCGGGGGTCTGAAAAATCAAAATCGAATCACCCTTCCCCTCTTGGCTTCCTTGTGGGAAAGCTAAGCATTTTGGGCTAGCACTCAGGGCAACCTTAGTATGGTGCCACTCATTGATTGTAGAAATTGTCATAGTCATGGCGATTCATGTTAGCTGTGTCGATTCCAATTATGAATATTTCCCACATGTGGTGTGTCGTTGGATTCTGTTTCAAAATTGTCTGCCCTAAAACATAACAGCATTTTGGAGGAAACCCCAGCAATTGCCCCACCCCGCTCAATTTCTTGAGGCCCTTGTTCTCTGGGTCGACAAGTCACGCGATGCTTGCTGAAACGCAACTGGGAGCAATCAACCTCTATGCAACCGCCCGCAGAGTCGATTGAAAACACCCCCGTCGCTTGGATGCCCACTTAAGTAGCCAATGTCCCCTGTAAACAAGTCCCCTAACAAGGCCATAGAAAAATTTCATTTGGGGGACTTACTCACTGGGGATGTTGAACTACGCACCGTGGTCATCCAACGGAAGATGCCACCAGCAAGACCCAAGTGGTATCCCCAAACAGCCCTGGAACCCTAGGAACCCCTGGAACCCTCCGGACCTTCTTTCAAAGCGGCTCCGAACCACCCCACAGCTTATTTGGGCAAAGACCCCAAATCTTTTCAGCTGTGGGGGAAAGGGCAAGGGATGGTTGCGCTTTCTTTCTGGGTCTCGAAGTGGTGGAGGGGGGGGGTTATCAGGGTTGGGCCAACGCCGTGGAGAAAAACATGGGTCTGTCTCAAATAGGGGAACCCCTTTGGGATGGGTTTGAAGGGAAAGCAAAAAGGAAGTCTTGAGAAACACCCACATGTTTCAAACAACCTCCATTAGTGGCTTCCCTTAGCAGACCAAGGGCCAGTTTAAACACACCCTACTCTCACCGGAAAGAGACAACTTATGATCTATTTAGCAACCACCTCCTGTAAGGTATTCTTTTTTGTTTGGGTTGGCGGCAAAAATAGACAAGCGTCCGTGCTCGTAGCACCTAGAATGAAACTTGCTCGGGGCGTTGCCAAAACCAGGAAACCCAAGGTGCAGTTGCCACTAGGCTTCACGTCTCACACAACAAATCAGGGCACCCGCCATTGGATCGCCGGCGTCCGGACCAAACTCACGTGTGATTGTCAAATTGAGTAAGGCTTTAAAACGTGCCGGGCCAAAACGTCCGTTGCAAGTTTCGAAAGTGCCGACGCTAAGCTAAACCCGGGCCCCATTCTGCATCGCTGGTGTCCGGTTTTCCTCCAAACCCCTCAGGTTGCCCGGGCCGTCTCTTCCCCAGGCTGAGCTTTCGACTTGGACACCCCCGAGAAGCCCACGATCTTGAGCTTAAAGGCCTCCCATTGGAGCTGCGTCCAATTTACCCCGCCGTTGGTTTGCTGTTGGTACTGTGGATGAACGAAAACCATTTTGCGCCACTTTGAAACCGGGGAATCACCATTGTTGTTTGGTGTTTACAGGGGAATGGTCATTCCAGGGTGTCTTAGGTGGTGCAGGATTTCGTCCATCCACGGTATCATGCCAACCCAGACTCGGGGATTGACCATGGAACATCTAAAAAGGAGGTAACATGTCCCCACCATGGTATCTGTACCATGGAATGCTGGTTTGCTTTTCGAAATATACCTGTCCTTTGGGGCCTGTTTTCCGGAAGGGCACGCCATGGGAAAGGATCACTCTTGAAAAGGACATCTGATCCAACCTCGAGAAAAACAAAAAAAACCAATCCCCCGGCGAAATGACTAGGGACCGGGACTCGAAGCTCAAATCTTGAAGGGTCAGCAGCCGTTGGGTTCATAAATTCAACCAGTTGGTACCAGGCTGGAACAGGTGCCGGCGTGCCAACTTGGCAATCTATTCATTAAAACCATGCAAACCGAGCGCCGCAAGTGGTTCATCCAAAGATTCTGGATTGATCCTTTCCAACTGCCGATCCATTTTTGTTCCCATTTGCTTCAGTCCTCCAGGACAACACATGGGGAAAATTACATATATTCTTAAGCAAATGGAAAAAAGTGGCAACCCCGTGGTCGACCAACCCGTTTCCTTTTGGATCCAGCCAGCAACATCGTTTTCGGGGCGAGTGTGAGATAGTTGCAGGAAACATGGCTGAATCCAGGCGTTCATGCTATACCCTCTTCTCAAGCTTCGGTTGAGATCTGCCCCGGACGTTCAACCCACTCAAGTAGGTCATAAGTCAACCAACCCCCGTCCCACGTGAAACTTTGCTGTAAACCTACTTAGCTTAGCTAAGGAACCCCTTTTCACTTGAAACTTGGTTGTAATCTACTATACTTATTGAGTAGGTTGAACATTCAAACGGGGCAAGACAGATAATATGAACATCAGAAGATCTGAAGGAGGGTAATTTACCCAAAGGGGTATGCAAAAGGAGTACAACACGCGCCCATTTGACTGGCTCAACGCATCGAGCCTTCGTGAGGTTGGTGTAGAGGTTCGCATAGCACCCGTCGTCCAAGAGCAGCAAGGTGTCATACCTGGCCCATGGTTTCCCCCATGGCTTGCGAACTGGGAATTGGAGCCGAAGCTGTTCCGGGTGAAGCCCTGGGGTTCAACTCTCCAAACCAATCAATCCCACCAAAAACAGGGGTTAATGTTAGCCCCGGATCTAAGTAGAACCCCGGTTGATTAATAGGGGGGTGTCCCCTTTTGGTGGGGATTCATCACTTTTGGAGCGAACACCCCCCTATTAATGGGACGGGTTTATTAATCCTGGGTCAACATTACCTGAATGATAGTTGCAAAGTCCCCCAGGCACCTCTACACCAAACCAACCGCACTTTGGTGTCGGCATTTCTTCAGTCACACCCCGGTGGGGTCTGACCTTTGTTACGGGGGCTGAAAAGCGTGCCCGCGCTGCGGCTGGGGCTGGCACTTGATGCGTGTTTTTTTTACACATGGGCCCGCCCTATGACTACTGGGAGTGACCACCGACTCAAAACGAAAGGATCCATCACTGGCCGGTCCAAACCAAGAACGCAAACTTAGAAGTGGAATGTGAATGGACTTCCTTTTTTTGGGGGGGTCTATAAAAAGACGAGCCACCCAGCTGGGTTTGTGCTTTGTTTTGCCATAGAAGTGCCTGGCTGGTTTATACTTCAAGCCAAAAGGTGGCCCGGCCTTGCCAGGGCAATCCAAAATCCGACTCCGTGCAGCTGACAAGTTGGCTCCAAAAAGAACCCTGCGCCCTTCAACTTAATGAAACCCCCCTTCAACAAATGCGGAGGCTCTGGGTACTGCCGTGCTGGCATTTGAGAGAGCAGGTTAGGTGCTCCAAAAACCAAAAGAGAACGCAGCCCTCTAGTTCCGAGCTTTTTTTGTAGAACGTTCTATTGATTGCGCATGGTCGCAGCCCTGCGATCTGACCAAAACATGTTGGGCCATGTCACCCCTCATTTCTTTTGAACATGAAAGCCACGAGGACGGTTCAGAGCAAAGCACTAACATGGAATGGGCTATATGTAATGTTTAATATGTATTTACATATGTATATATATATATATGTATATATGTCTCTATGCATGTGCGGCTTCTACTCATTTAGATGCGAGAGTACCTGCCCTTGCGCTCTTCGGGGTATCTTCTGTGATAGGGGGGCTCCAGACCTCCATGTCAACAACCGGAGATTGCCGCGTGGGGCGTTTTTCTCAAAACGGACTCCTCAGGCAGCTGCTGACAGCCTCTCTTCAAGAATCAACCCAGAGTCAGTTTGGCTGTGGGTCAAAAATAGGCGAACCCCAAAATGGGTTGCCCTTGTAAGAGGAAACATGGACTAAAAGCTGCGGTCCGATTCCTGGTGGATTCATTTTGACTCACAGCCATTTGGACAGAGACTCCAGTATCATTCTTGCTGTGTCATTTGCCATAAGACGCTATCCATCAAAACGTGTGCGCCTTCCGACTTGCTTTTGGCTCTGACTCCAATCAAGCAGTTCACACATGCCGACTGGTTCCTGTCCTTGTCGAATGAAACTTAGGTTTCGATCCAAAACAATCCTCGAGCTTCCCTCTGACAGGTGGTTTGGATTTGTAGCTAGGTTGGGGGGTGGCTCCCCCAATTCCTCTACAAGAACCAAAAGTTCAAACTTCGAACCCAACAATGACCACCAATTCAGGGCAACCTGGACCCGGATTCCTGATCAAATATGACTACCACTAGCACAGCGATGCGGATTCGACGATATGGACCTTGGTGCAAGAACTTGCTGCCCTCGCAAATCGAACGCAAGGCTCAGTGTTGCCTTTCGAAGCAGTTGGAGTCGAGGTAGAGGGTGACGTCGACATCTAGCCTAGCAAAATGGCAATGGAGCCAATACATTTGACTCATATACTGAGTGGATTGGCGGAAAATCCCAAGTGTTCGTTTGCCCTAAGAATCTTGGGACCTCAAAATTTGCCTCAAAAAGGCCTGTTGTTCAGGTCCAAACCCTGGACATCCGTTGTTTCCTATGGAGGATGTCTGATGCTTGTGCCCCGAAAACCTCTGCATTCCGATTCCATACCACGCCCCAGAGACGGCTTGAAAAGCAATTCTAGGGGACGGACATCTCGTTCGAAGCCCGAAACATGACTTTTGGCGAAAGAAACCCATCGCCATCAAGGCGATGGACGACCAACCGATTTCCCTTTTAACTAGCCTGAAAAGACCACCGAGCCTACACGCCCACTCTCCCTCAGGCATACTCGCTTCCCGGACAGCGTTCGTGTGTGGTACCGGGTGGGGCCGAAATGTTTGAACTCCCAGGACACGGGCGGTATATAGCGACAAAGAATGCACGGCCTCTCCCCAAATTCTGCGAAGTTGAGAAATGAGGGCTGTCACTCATTGGCCAAAGAAGGCGCCAGCTTCAAACCAGTAAACTTTGCTGGCCCAAATTATCCGGAAAGAACGGGCACGCCATTTCCGGATTTGGAATTGAACTCCAAATATCTCGATCATGTTCAGGCGGTTGATTTTACAAGATGGAAATCTGCCAATTCCAAAAAGCTGTGCGAAAGTATGATACAGTTCATTCTCTAAATAGGGGAACCCCCAAATGGCTTCCTTTTTGCTGTCCCTACAAAAAAAAGGGGCCCTCGAAAGACCCCCCCAATGAAAGCTCCACTAGGGAACAACGGGTGTCCCCTGTTATGTGCTTTGCTAGGGGTTCACTTGATACTTAGGGAATCGATTCCCTACCGTCGGATTAATCAACCCAACAAGTGATCCGGATCCCCAAAATGGTGAATCAACCCGGGGCCGATGCAGCCCAGGCAAAAGTCAAAAAAACTTGGGCTCTTCAACTCCAAAGTTGAACCGGTGTCTGTTTTAGGATTCGGACCCGCAAAAGTGATGGGCTTTGGTTTCCCCCTAAAAACCAACCAAAAGGGGAGCTCCCTGCAAGACACACCCAGAGATTTCTTTGGCCTCTGGTTTGGTTTTTCGGAACTGGAAAGCGTGTCCCATTTTACCCTGAGAAGCCAGGGGTTCAAATCCAAACCACTAGGGGGTTACCTGACCTATTCGTAAGCCGAATTTGTTGAGGCACCTCTCTGGGAACCCAACGCTTCGAGAGGTCGACAGGAGGAACCCATCCATCTGCAGCCATCCTTTTGAACCAAGCAAAACCCCAACTTCGGGTGCGTTTTTGCCAAGAACTTCGACACGATGGAAACCCAACAGGCAAAAGGTTAAAAAGGTAAGCTAAGTTTGGCAATGTACGCATTTAACCTCCCCTTTCCTGCATTCTGTAGAATATTCTTCAGATTTCTACCCGCGGGTCCGTGGAAAAAGGAAAAAGCCATGCTCGCTGGGGCCCACAGCGTATCTGAGGCACTGAGGCGCAGCATGAGAGGTAGCAACCATCTCAGGCCTACGAATTCAAGCCGAGGAGATAAGTATACCGTATACCAGGGCGAGTCTGTCTAGCCCAGCATGGTGGATCCCACGCCAAGAAAAGAGCTGGATTCCTTTGAATGTCTTACTATCCTAAAGGAGGTTACGCACACGGGTCGAAATCTCAAGAAGGACTACAAGAAATGGGTTGGAGGCCACAAAAAAGGGGAGATTTGTTGTTTGGTCTCGCATTGAAACCAACACAAAGCAAGGGGAGGTTTCGGCAAAAAGGAGGCTACGATCTCTCGCCAAGGGAGCCACCAAAATGGGGCAACTTGATCTCCTGGCTCATCTCTCGGCACTAAAAACAAATTCTTCGGAGTCTGTTCCATATCATATAAGTCTTTGATTTTGCGGGTACCATGTTTCTGGTAACTTAAAGGGAAGCCAAGAGGGAGATCACCATTTGGGGTCCCCTATTTTGACACATACCCATTTGCGAGACCCCAGATTCGGCCTGTTCACATTTCTGTTGGTTTAAGATGCGTCAGAGGGCGTGTGATTCAAGAATGCATACTAACTGATCGCGGATTCAGGCGTCACAAAAAAAGCATCTCTGGAAATGCGACTGCAAGTCCATCTCAAGTCTCTCCCCAACAAAACAACGAGTGATGATCAGTAAGTGACAGGGCTTCTCTATGGGGGTAGCAACAGTCCAAGGCAGCCAAAATACGGGCCCATCCATAGGCCTCTGCGAATCGGAGGTGTCCAATACTGTTGACCTTCTGCGTATCCTATCAATAGAGGGGTGGGGTGAGCCCCTCCAAAAGTGGTCTGATTCCCCACTAAACCGAAAAAAAGAAAAATGATCAACCAGGAGGTTCTTAATCCGGGGTTCCCATTCGCTCTTAAACTGGCTGTACTTTGATGTTGAGCCATTCATCAACTTCGCGGATTGATAAACATGTTTCCCCCAAGTGATGGATGGATGCTCTCGAATGATGGAACACCGACTTGTCATCGACTTCCCTAAAATCACTTCCGATCAAGTGGATTGGACAACAAACAAGTCGCCACACTTTTGGTTTAAGCACCAGAATGGTCTTCCCAAACGGTGACCATTTTTGGTGGTTTTCCTTTTGGTGTCCCTTTGAAACCACAAAACCAAAGTACCCTCAAAACAGACGCACCCATGGTCATAATGACAGTATCATATTCAGTGCAACCTAAAATGTAAAATAGTTCTGGAGGAGACCCCAGCTTCGGCATGGAGGTGCCAGTCTTCTTGCCCCCCCCTGCGCGCACGGCAGCCTCTGGCTGGCGACATTGCCAGGGAAGAGCGTTGAACAGTTGTTGGCAGAAAGATCTGGTCTTAAATTCTGTGGCCGGCTTGCTGCAGTCTACGCGATTCCACTCACGGCTCGTTTTCGCAAGGTCTCTGTTGCTCCATGGTTCCATGTGCCGTTCGGCGCGGCATGATCATGTCGCACGCGGAACCGAAACCCGCGCCACTCATGTTTTTGGGGGAACCTTCACTCGGACTTGCAAGCTTCAATGCTTTGGCCCAGGAAACAGCTGCAGCCAAAGGAAAGTGCGAGGAAGCTGCGCATGCAGGTCTGCGTTGGCGGTATGACAGCATGAGGTGGCTAGGCTCTTGCTATGGCTCTGAATCGCTAAATTGGACGGCTGGCAGCGCGTGTGAGTGACTCACAAAATCTTATACGTATACCTGAAACCAATAGGGAGCCCCCATCACAACCGATGCGGACCAAACTGCAAAACGGATGAGGGCCCACCCACAGTCATACTGTTCGTTGAGCATGTGGACAAAGCTTGACACCAATCGGGGGTGTGGTGTCAGCTCAATTTGACTCATTTCGGCGGGCCACAAGCTGTGCACGCAGTTTGCCTGGAAGCTGACAAAGGCTTTGAAGGAACGTTCCATGTAACGGCAGCTCTGGTCTTCCATGTCAAAGGGGCCAAGGATAGGACCACCCAAACTTCTACTATATAAGGGCCACAAAAAGATAGAATGGGGCTGTGCGGCACCAAAAACAAATCTAGTCATGATGTTACTTTATTCGTTTGTTTATAGTGTCTTCTCTTCTTCTTCTCTGTTTTTTTTTTTGGGGGGGGGAAGGGGTTAACACTATATATTCAGCCCATATATTACAGCCCGGTGCAGTTGGAATTCGGGCTGGTGCATCCAGCATACAGGTCACCCGTGCTCAGGTTCTTAGCCAACACTTGCAAGCTCCACATAGAATATACAAGGGCCCAAATGGCTGTGGGTCAAAAATAGTTACCCAAAATGGCACCCTGGTCAATGGAAACATGGACTAAAACCTGTGGTCCCGTGGTGGTTTAGTTTTGACCCATACCCAAATCATTAGAATTCGGTTGTGGGTATTTGAGACCCAAAAAAGTCATGCTGATAGATGTGCGTAGTTGTCTAGCTCCCTTGGGTTCGCCAACCAAAAGTCTCGAACTTCCTTTGTGTGCGCTTCTTGTTTGCCACCAAAATGGTCCAAAGTCACAAAAGTACTCAAGTCCAGGAACCCAATGCGTTCAGGCACTGTATCACAGGCTAGGACACAGGGAAGGATTGCTCCTGGGGATTTCCCTTCCATCGAACAACTTTGGGGTCCCAACTTTGGGGTCCCAGCCGCAGACAAACCATGTGGATCCGTGTCTTCAGGGTAATTGTGGGGTTGGTTTGAAGGGGAAAATGAAGGAGATGCCACCGATTTCGGGGTTTCCATATTTAAGACAAATCCACGTAAACCTCAGACCTAAAACAAGCCACCCCAAGAGACAGCATCACTGCTGAAGCTGTTTGAGCCTTAAGGCTCAATTTGTGCAACCAAAAATGCTACTCGCTGTCATTGCTCTAGGCAAAGCAGCCCGCTTCTCAAGGTGATCCCCTTTGGGCCATGGCCTACAAATGGTTGCCCACAAAAATGAATTCTAAAGGTCAGATCCTCTGGCTCAGGAGACCCGAATTTTGTGGATTTCCTTGAAAAACGGGCGCGCGGCGCCCCTTTTTCGAGGCAAAGAAAAGGAACCCATCCAAAACCTGAATGATTGGGCGGACCCCCTCCAGAAACATGGAACACATCCAGACCCCGAATGGTTGGCTGAATTTGAAGAGGAACCCCCCCTCTAAAAAGGCTGTGGCTTGGAGGTTGCATCCACAATTAGAACCTCCGCCCAGAACCGCGCGGCTTTTGCTGTTCGACGGAAGCAAAACTGTTCCAAGGGCCGGTCCATGGGTTCACGGCCCCAATAATGTACAGTCAAAAGATCAGATTGGCCGCCGATGGAGCAAACCCAAGGCCCCTAGAATCCTGCACAGGATGGAAAGGAACCTGAAAATCGCTGATCAAAGGGTTCTGATCGAAACTGTTTGTAGGAAGGGCCCTGATGTCTACTCGGAAGCAGGCGGCATGCTGGCTTGGAGCCCGTGGCCCACGTCGAAAAAGCCGTGGGCTGCCTTTTAGGGGCCCCAAAAATTGGGTTGTTTCCTTTTGGCCCTTTGGCTTCCTTTTCAACTCCCAAGAAGGGTACCCTCAAAAAGCAGACATACCCAAATGGATTTCCCAGGTTCGAGCGCGGGGTATTGGTCCAAGCCGCAGTATTGGGGGCTGCCGAGTTGCGCCTTGCTGGCCTAAGCTAACAACCAGAGGACCCAATACACAAATAATCCATTTGCTTTTGCGCCCCCTGAAGAACATGAGAAGAATATGTCCAGTAGTAAAATCGATTCCCTTTAAGACCAACAGGGGACATGTAGCACGTGAGTTTGTCTTGTTCAGGGGACACCCAAAATGGCTGGTGTGCTTTTAATTTCCCTTTACACACATTGT